ATACTTCAGTCCAACTAAAATATACTTATGTGCATGGCAAATATTATGTACTGTCAGAAAAAGTCTAAAACATGCTATCATGTGGAAAAAGCAAAAAAAGCACAGGATACTGTTAGAAGTTTTCCTTTTGTGTTATTTTAAAGCATGTGTATAAATGTCAGTAACTTACAGAAAGATATGTGAGAATCTTAACAATGGTCACTTGTTTTTTAGGTGGAAGTGTTTAGCTTTTCTTTCTCATTCTATATCCTTTGTGTTATTTTAAAGCATTTGTATAAAGGCCATTATGTACGTAGTAACTTATGGAAAGATACATGAGAATCCCAACAGTGGTCACTTGTTTTTAGCAAGTGTTTGGAAGCATACAGCTTTTCTTTCTCATTATATAATCTCCTGACTCTGAATTTTCTAACCCTTAGGTATATTGCTTTCCTGTATTTCTTTCTATGTCAATGGATTATTAGGATGGTAGGATCTTGGCTCATTTGTTTGCTTCTTTATACTTCTCAGGATTAAAACAAATCTATCAGGATAGATTTGACTATATTAAAATAAAAACTCTGTTCGACAACATACCATAAAGTAAAAAGCCATACCACTGACTAGGAGGAGATACTTGCAACACATATAACTGACAGAGGGTTGGTGTCTAGAATAAAGAACTCTTAAAAATTATACAGAAAAGGAGAAAATAAACTCAATGGAAAGATCAGCAAAGAATATGAACAGATCCTTCATAAAAGAAGGAAATACAGTGGGCAAAAGGATGAAAGGTTTAATTTGTAATTGTGAAAAATGCAAACCTAAGTCAATGAAACATTTCACACCCATCTAATTGACAAAAGTTTACAAGCACTTTAAAAGCAATATGGGGATGTCTAGCAGGGTAAGATGTGTTTATTCCACATGTGCATCCCAAGTAACCAACACACTGGGCATAATGCACAGGAATGTTCTATTGCAGTGTTGTTAGTAAGACAGGAATTCTGGAAACAACTTTAAGCCATCAATTGAGAACAGATAAATTATGGTAGTTCATATAATTGAATGCTACTACATGGTACCAAAATTAATGAGAAAGCTGGACACAGTGGCTTACGCCTGTAATCCTAGCACTCTGGGAGGCTGAGGCAGGCGGATTGCTTGAGCTATCCAGTTGGAAACCAGCCTGAGCAAGAGCAAGACCCTGTATTTAAAAGTAGCTGGCCAGTGGCAGTGCCCACAGCTCAGCGGATAGGGTGATGGCCACATACTCCGAGGCTGGCAGGTTCCAATCCAGTCTAGGCCAGCTAAACGACTACTTGAACAACAACAAAAAAACAGCCAGGCATTGTGGCAGGTGTCTGTAGTCTCAGCTACTTGGGAAGCTGATACAGGAGAACCAAGGGCAACAACATGAAACTCTGTCGCAAAAAAATAAAAATAAAATTTATAAGGGTGTCACGACATAGATTAATCACAAAATCATGAATGAAAGTAAGCTGCAGAATGAGGCAGTCTAAGACTTAAAAACACACAAAACAAAACTGAAGACTGGAGGGCTTATGGATTATGTCTATATAGTAAAAACATCACAATATACATGAAAAGATAAACATCAGTTTGGATAGAGTTACCACTGGAAAGGGAGTGTGATCTGGAGGTGCCAAAATGTTACGAAATGACAAAAGCAGGAGTTGAGAATTTGGTTGTTCAAGTTCTGAAATATACTATACTGGAAATAGTTCATATAGCCACCACCAACACATACTCACCTATTTAGGTATGGAAGGCTATTTCTTTTTTTTTTTGGAAGGCTATTTCAATGACAAATTTTCAAGCCCTTCCCCCCTCCATGGCCCAGATACAGGAACTTGAGATACAGGTGTGAACAAGACATGCTACCTGCCTTCAAGAAGATAATCTCGCAAAAGCAGACTTGGGTTTGATTAACTTTGCTGCTGATGGCTAAGGAAATCTGTTCTTTAACCAATAGGCCTGAGACCCTTAAAAGTTAAGGGAATGGTGCTGTGGATGGCATCAGAGAAGGCTTAGTCACTGCTGCCCTGACTCTTCCTTTATAGAATGAAGGTAACAAGAGATGAACCATGACAATGAATACAGCGTAAAACAAACACTCCAACTTGTAGAATTGTAGAAATTTTATTATGTTAAAATATTCTTTAATCAAAGAGCCATTATTTACGGGAAGGAGAGTACAGAAAACAGATTTATGACTGAATTAGTTGTCCTCAATTACAATTTACGAATTACACATATAACATTATTGCCTACAGTAGTCACTGAAGGTCTGAGAGGCTGTGAACTTGGAAGAGCTTCTTCCTGTCAGGCTGCTTGCCACGAGACTCCAAGACAGGATGGACACATTTTTCTTTTGTAAATTTAAACCTTTACAACAGTTCGAATGCTGTAAGAGAAGGAAGCAATGAGTTCTGAATAACACCTTTTTATTTTATTTATTTTTTTTTGAGACTCACACTACGTTGCCCCTGGTAGAGTGCTGTGGCATCACAGCTCACAGCAACCTGAACTCTTGGGCTTAAGCTATTCTCTTGCCTCAGCCTCCCAAGTAGCTGCGACTACAGGCACCTGCCACATGCCTGGCTATTTTTTTTGGTTGTAAGTTGTCATTGTCATTTGGCAGGCCCTGGCCAGGTTCGAACCCACCAGCCCCAGGGTATGTGACCAGCACCCAAGCTGCTGAGCTACAGGTGTCAAGCCAATAACACCTTTTTAAAAAGACATCAAAATTGTTATGAACTACCTTCCCCAATAAAATCCTCAATTTATTATACATTCTATATTAAAGCTTAAAGACAAAGCTTACCTTTCCCCTGAATGCATCAGTTCAAAGGCTTTGTTAATTTTGTCAAAAGACAGACTGTGAGTCACAAATTCATCAACTTTTATCTTTTTGGACATGTATTCAGACACCAACTTTGGAACACTTTCTACACTCTTCCATCCTAAAAAAAATCATACATCCATTCATTAGTTTGTTCAACAAATTTCTACAGGGTACTTACTACTTAGTGGGTGACACAAAGATATTTAAGAGAACGAAGTTTTTGATGATTTAAAGAATGAAAAACTCCAACATTAGCATAGAGAGGGAGATTTTACACATATCTGTAGTTAAGAAGTAAATACTTTTTTGAGTATTTTCCTTTTTCTATATTAAGACTTACTGAATTCTTGGCTAGGTGTGGTGGCTCATGCCTATTAATCCTAGCACTCTGGGAGGCCATGGCAGATAGACTGCTTAAGCTGAGGAGTTAAGACCAGCCTGAGCAAGAGTGAGACCCCATCTCTACTAAAAATAGAAAAACTAGCCAAGGAAAAACTATTTCCTTGGTTTTAAATTTGATAATAAAATAAGGAGAGCATCTCAGAATAGAAAACTATGAAACCGAAAGAGTAAAAATCTTTAGCTAAATAAGATATTATTTATTTATTTATTTTTGAGATAGAGCCTCAAGCTGTTGCCCCGGGTAGAGTGCCATGGCATCACAGCTCACACTAACCTCCAAATCCTGGGCTTCAGTGATTCTCTTGCCTCAGTCTCCCAAGTAGCTGGGACTATAGGTGCCCGCCACAATGCCCCGCTATTTTTTTGGTTGTAGTTGTCATTGTTGTTTGGCAGGCCCTGGCTTGATTCAAACCCCCCAGCTCTGGTGTATGTGGCTGGCCCTTAGCCACTTGAGCTATAGGCGCCGAGCCATAAATAAGATTTTAAGTAAAAGTAGATGCTTCAATTCCTGTATCTAAAGACGGAATAAATCAGCACAGAAGACTTATCACTCTTTAAGAATGCTTTGGAACATATGTCAAAGCTCTTCTGAGCCTGTTCCAAATCTTCCTCTATATGTCCTCCACTAATTATTTTGTCCCTCACAAAACTGAGGGGACTTTTCTTTCTCCTTCCAATCTCCTGGTAACTAATATAACTGAAGCCATGCTCATCCTCTAGAGCAGTGTTTTTCAACCTTTTTTTAATCTCATGGCACACCTGAACCTATAAACTTCCACCACACACTTCAATTATGTTGGTCAAGAAAAAGAGTAAGAAAGAGAATATACTTACCGTGCTTTGAATCTTTAAAAATTAATTAATGATCTTTAAAAATTTTCCTGGCACACCGGTTGAAAATCACTGCTTTAGGGAAAGATGACTATTATCTTTGGGTCATATTTTAGCAGTACCCTAATGCTCCAGCAAATTTCCCAGCCAGCATGTGCTAGGTTCATCCAGAGCAGCGGTTCTCGACCTGTGGGTTGCAATCCCTTTGTAACAATGAAAGTACATCGTGGCATTCGGAAGGTTGAGAACCACTGATCCAGAGGCTACTAATAAGACCTCTGGCTCAGAATGCTCTTCAAATACAGCCATGACCCTGAGATGTGCCCCCAAGAAACATGTATGACTTAACCAGTCTGCTCTAAATACTCAGCTGTGCACACATCTGCAGCTCTGGAGAACAGAGTCAAATCAACAGTTAATAAGGCAAATTCTGTAGTATAAAGAAGGAAAACTTCAGACAAACCCCTCATTCAACATACTTTCCAAATCTTCTAGCCTTCAAAAAAATTGGCATAATATGAAGGAGGAGATTGTAATAGACATGTTAAACATCTATCATTTAATACTCATGCTATGTGATTTTTTTCATAACAGGATAGTGAAATAGTAATGTAGCTTTAAAAAGCCTATAAAAACTTTAGATTTCATTCATTCACAACAGCTGGGATATACAAACATGTTTTGATGTCCTTTCTCTAGCTGAGCAGCCCTGAAAAAGACAGAAACTACTTCCCAGCAACCCCAAACTACCAAACACTTTTTGGATCGTTCAAGGGAAAGGTGATCAGCTCTGCTTTTTTAATAGTTATAAGGTTTTGTCTAATATTTTCATCTTAAGACTCAGTATTGGTTACTGCTCAAATCAATACTATTCAGACAGAATTATGATCACATCCAGTAATCACTGCACTTTCTGATCAAAATGAGTGAAAATCTGACAACCTACCTAAGCCCCCAACATGATGTGCTGATACTACTGCTTCTCACCCCCACACTACCCACAACTACTTCCTCATTAACAGAAAAAACTAATATATATATTTTTAAAAAGAATGTATAACAAGTGACTGTGAGTTAGAGGTAAGGGTTTAAGATCAGGGACAGAACATTCCTGAGTCTGTTGACATCAGCCTAGACTCCTGCAGACCCCTGCCCCTCCACCACCGTGGTCTGAAAGGTATGTGTAGCAATTACAGATTAAGACCTGCTGGGAAGTCAAAGTATAGAATGGGACCAACAGGGAGAGTTAAGGAAGCTAAAGTTTACCTCCTAAGCATTGTGCCCATTTCTTTTGTAACTTTTTGACCTTATGATTATATGACATTGTTCTTAAGAAGTTCTCATTCTTTTTTTAATCTTAATTTTTTTTTTATATCTTATAGCATAACTGTGCACAATAATGCAATCATGGGGTACAGTGTGCTGTTTTCATATACATTTTGAAATACTCTCATCAAACTGGTTAACATAACCTTCATGTCATTTTCTTAGTTACTGAGTCAAGACATTCATACTCTGCTTTTAGAAAGATTCACTTGTACCCTTGTAAGATTAACCATAGAGGTGACCCCACCAATCACACTTCCTCCCCCCATAGCTCCCCTCTCCCACCCCCTTCCCAAGAAGTTCTCATTCTTTATTACCATGATAAAAAAAAGACTTATTCTTATGTTGAGTAATAAGGTTAGAGTTTCTGTTTATAATTAACTTTTGTTCTGTGCTATGTTATATGTATATGTATACATTTTTCATGCTCAGTAAGAGACCCCTGAGGTCTTCTTCAAGGTAGCACTTCCTTGCTACTTACTGAGCACGTGAAGTTGCCTGCCTCTGTGAGCCTTACCCATTACCCATTATTCCACTGCAAATAACTGAGTGTGAGAGTTTTCTTTCTGTACTGCCCTCTTCTTGCTGGCTTATCCACAGGTAGTGAATGACTACAAGTGACAATGTGCTTTAGGAGGAACTGAGCACCCCCTCGGCCCCAGGGTAATACTAATTGAGTTTGAAACCCTCCTACTGAAATAACCTTGCACCAAACAACTTACAAAGAGAAGCTAGCCCATGGAGATTTTGGTTCATATAAAAAAATTAGGCTGGGATTCAAATCTGCCAATAGAAATAACAAAAGAGAAAATGTATTCGTCTCATCTGTCCAATTACCTCCAAATGCAGTGCCTTTCCATGTACGGCCTGTAACCAGCTGGAATGGACGGGTGGATATCTCTTCACCTGAAGCAGCTACTCCAACCACCACACTGACGCCCCAGCCTTTGTGGCAGGCCTCAAGTGCTGCTCTCTGCAAGCAGAGTACACCCAAATCACAGAAGGCAGTGCATTCTGCTGAGAATAACTGCTTTTCCAGAAACTTTGATCAGGGAAGGGGCTGTAGCAAACTTAATACTTAGTATGTTGAATTGTATTACAATGACATTTTAATAAGATAGTTTAAAAAATTCACCTGGCTAGATATTAACACAAATTGAAAGAATTTAAAGCTTTTATTTGGTTTCTATTTTTAAAAGTAAATTGTAGCTGAAAATGATAATGACTTAGTTTATAAAAGCAGGCAGGAGAAGTAACACTAATGCTTTGACTCAGTCTCTACAGTGTTAAGCACATGAGGTTGCTGCTTGCTGAGTTCCGTTATCTGAAATGCCTGAGACCAGAAGTGTTCTGAACTTCACATTTTTTCAGACTTGGAACATTTGTATTAAACTGATTGCCTGAGCATTTCAATCTGAAAACCCCAAATCTGAAATGTTCCAATGAGCATTTCCTTTGAGTGTCATGTTGGTGCTCAGTAAGTTGGAGCATTTTGGATTTTGGAATTAGAGATTTGTAATCTGTATCTGCTGCATTTTACAAAAGAAGAAACTGAAGTTTAGAGAATTTGTTCCCTCAAGGTCATAGATTAAGTAGAAAGTGTATCTAATTCCAAAGCCCACGTTCTTTACAACTGCATTATTCCACCTTTCAGTTTAATGAGACGTGTATTTCTCATGGATTGAAAGGCAAAGAAACATCTTTTTTCATCTTTCCCTGAGCTATTCTTGAATTGTTTCTCAGTTGTAGTTCAAGTAGTTATTTTTCCCTTCTTCCATTAGAATAATTCTTATCAGAAGTGACTTTTCTTTCCCCCCAAACCCACAATTGTTAATCTGTAAGAAACTACATTGTTATAAAAAGCAGCTCCTCAAACAGAAAGGAATGAAGCCAAACACACTCACCATGACCTTCACGTTACCAATACACTCAAAGGAATAGTCCACTCCTCCACCAGTCATCTCAACAAGCACCTCCTGGATGGGCTTATTGAAATCCT